ATAAAAGGTGACTGGTCCCAATGGAGATTACTTTAATGTAAATTCAAACCGAATTTAAAGACTTAGTAGGAAAAAAGAATATATTCATTAAAAATTTTATATTGATTACATGCTGACATAATATATAACATAAGTTTTGGTATACTGAATTAAAGAAAGTGATTACTATTTTGTTTTACTTTTACTTCTTTCTTTTTTTTTTTTTTTACACTCAGCCTCCTGTAATTCCACACTTGATCTTAGCCAAAAGGCCAAGAAGTGATTAGTCTCTTGTGATTCTAAAGACATGAGTCTCTGTTCTCTTTTCAAGGAGGAGAATATCCGATGGATCTCTGGCCTAATCATCAAATTCATCATAACATTATACTTTATTGCCTCTTCCTTCCTACATTTGATAGTTCTTAAATGATTATCATGAAGATCTTATTGTCCTCTTGTGCAATAGTATTTATATGCTACAATGCTACTACATTACTAATATTACTGCAATACTATGTTAGGACCATTCTAACTCCTTCTCAAGAATCATCTCATTTAATTCTTAATATGTCAATTTATATCATCCCAATTTTAGATAAGGAATGGAATTGAAGAGACCAAGTAACATTTTGTCAACATCAAAACATTACCTTGTATCAAGCCAGTGTTGAACCTATCTTGTCTGAATTCAGAGTTTGTATTCATTATTATTAGTATTGTTTTTATACATTAAAAAAGCAGATCTTAGGCCGGGCGCGGTGGCTCACGCCTGTAATCCTAGCTCTTAGGAGGCCGAGGCGGCGGATTGCTCAAGGTCAGGAGTTCAAACCAGCCTGAGTCTCTACTATAAATAGAAAGAAATTAATTGGCCAACTGATATATATATAAAAAATTAGCCGGGCATGGTGGCTCATGCCTGTAGTCCCAGCTACTCGGGAGGCTGAGGCAGAAGGATCGCTCGAGCCCAGGAGTTGGGTTGCTGTGAGCTAGCCTGACGCCACGGCACTCACTCTAGCCTGGACAACAAAGCGAGACTCTGTCTCAAAAAAAAAAAAATTAAAAAAAAAATAAAAAAGCAGATCTTAAAGAGTCCAAACATTTTGTTATTACTACCAATTGTAAGACACCTTACCTTGATACTCTGTCCTTAGGTAAACCTAGACTAGACGTTTTCCACATTGAGGGAAGAACAGGGGATCTCACAGGAGCTGAGCCCCTCCTGTGTGGGAAACACTTTCATTACTTTAGCAGACATCACCCCAGTTGTTTATCTTCACAACAAAGCTTGGAGTTGTGTATTATGATCTATTTTTATGAATGAGAAAACCCAGACACAAAGATGTTACTTGACAATTATCTTTTGAAAAGCCTGTGGTGCCTATTTAAACAGATGATGCATAACCTGTTAGTTAGTGGAAAGACACTGAGAAGACACAGGCTAATGAATGTATGGTGTTTTAAGCCTCTGTGTGGCAAAATTATTGCATAGCAATAGATAACTAATACAGATTTTAGTACTGGAAATGGGGTGCTGCTATAACAAATACCTCAAAATGTGGGAGTGGCGATTCACGTGCAGATGTCTATGTGGTGGCGATGTGGCACCCCCGGGGTAGGGAGGCTGGGCCAGGGGGAGAGACAGGGAGCCACCGCTGGGGCTGCTGGGTTCCTGCGCGCCCTTGTGCTTCCTTCCACCTGCCCAGGGGCAGCAAGGGTGCTGGTGGCAGCTGAGGACCTGAAGAGCCTGCTGTAGAACCAGGTGCCTTGGGTGCTCTACCTCAAGGAGCTCATGGCCACCTTGCAGACCCAGGAGAGGAGCCTCATCCGCACCCAGCGCCAGCGCACCAGACTGGAGCACAGAGAATCGCAGCCTGTGGGAGCATCAGGACCTGCTGCAAGCCCAGCCTCCATCAGGCTCATCCCCTCCTCTTCAGCCGCTTTGCCAGCTCCCCTGGCCACCACACCCACCACCACCGGGACCCAGGAACCTCTCCAGCACCACGGACAGCTCTCACTCGCCGGGGCTGAAGTCCGCCAGTCACCCTTTCAGCACCACGGACAGCGCCCGGTGCAACCGCAGCTGAGGCACCCAGGCCCCCCACCAGCACCTGGAGACACTGGAGGCTGTCGCAGACAAAGAGAAAGATTGTCTCCTGAGTTGTGGTGCTGTCGCCAGAGCCCTCCTTCAGCAAATCCCCTGCCGCCCTCGACAAGGGCGTCCTGAGCAGAACTGAGCGGTGGGCCAGAGGAGAGGGAGACTGTTGTGGTGGAAGGAAGGGAAGCAAGCGGGTGTGAGGAGGAGACAAAGGGGAAATCGGGTGCACGTAAGAGTCTAGAGGACTGGGAGAATGTGAACTGAAGGGGCGAGAAGATGCTTCGGGGTAGAAGTGTGTCAAGGAGATCTGGGGGTAAAAGTTTCCTGTAAAGCAGCCTCAGGCAGGGCCTTCAGGAAATATTCCAGAAGAAGGCACTGTTATCATAGGAGATGACAGCTTCATGCCCATTACTGCCCCTGAAGACCTTCCAGTGGAGTAAGATGTGGAGGTGGAGGACAGGGATATCAACGATCCTGACCTTGTGTAAGCCTAGGCTAATTTGTGTGCTTGTGTCTTAGTTTTAACAAAAAGTTTTAAAAGTAAAAGAAATTTAAAACATAGATAAAAGCTTATATAATAAGGATATAAAGAAAGAAAATACTTATGTAAAGATGTACAATGTATTTGTGTTTTAAGCAAAGTGTCATTACAAAAGAGTGAAAGTGTTTAAAAGATTAAAAGGTTTAAAAAGTAAAAATGTTACAGTAAGCTAAGGTTAATTTATTATTGAACAAAGTAAAATATGTTATAAGTTTAGCCTAAGTGTACAGTGTTTATAAATTCTAAGTACCACACAACATTGTCCTAGGCAACATTCACTCACTACTCATTCACTGACTCACCCAGAGCAACTTCCAGTCCTGCAAGTGCCACTCATGTGAAGTGCCTGTGTGTGGAAAAGCCAACACAAATCTTTTTTTCCTATGCTCTCACACCACAACAGCAATCAACACAGAAGACTTCCAGGACCAAATTTGTGGGGGTTTCTCCCTACACATCAATCAATCGGTTCTGCAGCAGAGACAGCTAGGTGTCCTCCAATTGAATTCTGACAGCCTACCTGGAGATAGCATCAGATCCCTGAGGTTGAGTGCTCAGTTCCCAAGACTGCCCTCTCCTTCCCTGCAGTCACAAGTCTGGGCCTTCAGAATGTCTGACCAACCAGCTTCAAGTTGGGGTTCCCATGACCCCCCTCTTTGGGTTTGATTAATTTGCTAGAGTGGTTTACAGGACTCAGGAAAACATCTATATTTCCTGGTTAATTACAAAGGACATTGTAAGTGATGCCAGTAAATAGCCAGATGAAGAGATATGTAGGGCGAGATCTGGAAAGATCCTGAGTGCAGGAGCATCTGTCCCCAAGGAGTTGGGGTGCTCCACCCTCCCAGCGTACAGGTGAGTTCTTGTTCACCTATCTGTAGGTCCCCATGTGCTCAACTGCCCAGAAGCTCCCTGAACCCTGTCTTTTTGGGCCTTTTATGGAGACTTCATTGGACAGGCATGACTCACAATCATGTAGAAATGTCACTGGACAGAAAGGGTGTGATCTGATACTATTATAATACATCGAGTAGGGAAACCCAGCAAGGCCTGCCCATAGATTCTTCTTGGCCTCTCTGTGCAGCTTTCCTTCTTCCAGGGTCTTATGACCCACAAGCAAATTAGAGTCTTGCCTTGGACTGGTGAAAGGAGAGCAAGAGAAGTTCAGGGAGAGAGATTCTGTTTCCTGAGGCCTGCTTCTGGGGCCTAAAACACCCCAACATTATAACAAAAGACTGTATCAAGGGCTATGGGAGTTATGAGCCAAGAACCAAGGACAAAAACCAATACATATACAGCATAATATCACAGTGTCCTACGGAAGTGTAACATTTTTCATCTTTCAACAAGTGGGCTTTGGGGGTACACACACATTCAGTTTATTACATCTCATTTATTAGTCAGGGTTCTCTAGAGAAATAGAACCAATAGAGTCTGTATGTATATATATATTTGGAAAGAGATTTATTTTTAGTTATTGGCTCATGTGATTATGGAGGTTGGAAAGTCCAAAATCTGGAGGGTAGGTCTTTGGTCTGGAGACACAGGGAAGTGCTGATGTTATAGTTCAAGTCCAAAGGTCATCTACTGTCGAAATTTCTTCTTGCTCAGGGAAAGGCAAAGAAGTCTCTAGCTGGCCTTTTACATGTTGGTGCTTATGCCTTGCTTGTCTAAGTCGCCTATTATAAATGGAGGATTTTTCACCTTCTTATTGTGCCACTTGTATAATGGATTTAGAGGACCTTGGAACCAATTGCACATTGTGTTTTCCGGTTGTCATTATCTCCTTCCTGTTTGATAATCTTTAAAAGGTGCTTCTTTCTTTCTGGAGCTTTGATGCCAGAGGCTTTGAGAAAGTTCCTTCTCTTTCAGGTAATCCTGGAAGTAGAGGTGAACTGGGAGTTAGCTTCGGCATCAAGTTATTTGAGAATTACATGGGCCAAAAGATCATTCTCCATACTTTCAAGAGGCAAAACCAGAGGAGGTCAACTCCGACTCTAGGTGCCTAAGGATCATCAACCCAAACCCCATTCTTTTCCCCCTCACATGCCACACATTACCACATCACTCCACTTAGAATAATTTCTATCACTATCAAAGTGATACTTGTTTCATTGTAGAAAATATTTAAAATACAAATAATTCATCCCAGAATTAGCACTAATATTATGATATCTAGACTTTCAGTTTCTCTTTTAAAAAATACCTAATAAATACAGGTTTTTTTTTTTTAAAGAGAAAAGGTCTCACTCCGTTGCCCAGGATGGAGTACATTGGCATAATCACAGGTCGCTGAAACCTTGAACTCCTGGGCTCAAAGGATCCTCCTGCCTCAGCCAGCTGAGTAGGTGGGACTCCAGGCCCATGCCACCACACTCAGCTAAATTTTTAAAATTTTGTGTAGAGATGGGGTCTCATTCTGTTTCCCAGGCTGGATTCAAACTCCTGGCCTCAAGCATCCCTTCCTCCTCTGCCTCCCAAAGTGCTGGGATGACAGTTATGAGCCACCTGCCTGGGTACAGACAGATATATATATATTTTTTATAAAAATAGGATCAACATTTTTCTTCCCATAAAATATTCATGCATATGGCATAATGCCAATCATATGAATCTACCATATAATTTTTGATGAACCCCACATTAGTGAATAATTAGATTATTTGCAATGTTTTGCTGTTACAAATAATCATGAATTCAGTCAGCAACTATTTATTGAGTACCTCCTATCATCTGTGCTAAGTGCTGGGGGTAAACTGGTGACCAAGAGACACAGAGTCCCCACCCTAAGGAGGTTAACATTTTGGTGTGGGAAAGACAAACAAGTGACACAAATTTCAGTTTGAAGAAGGAAGCTGAACCGACTAATGAGAGAGAATACCTAGGAAGGAGCCCTTCAGGCAGGCCAGTCAGGGGATTCCTCTCTGAGAAGGGGACATTTGACCCAAGATCCAAAGCAAGGAAGCTGGCCTGAAGGCCCAGCCACGTGCACAGCCAGGGCAGAAGCATTCCCCATGGGGGAGGGGGCTGTTCGTGCTGTAGAAAGTTCTAATGTGGTTTCAGCGTGAGGGGAGGGGCAGTGATGCAGGCTGAGGGGGAAGAGACAGGCAGAGGCCAGACAATCTGGGGCCACACTGTGACCCTCAGAGCAGTAGGAAGCTACTGAAGGTTTAATGCAAGGGGGGACATGACCTGATATCCACGTCTTAAAGAGAATCTGGCTGCTAAGTAGAGAACAGCATAGAGCAGAGGAAGGACGAGGTTGTCACAGTGGTGAGGGTTTACATTAGGATGGGAACAAAGGGGATGGAGACAGAAAATTCCTTAGCATGAAGAGGACAAAGACAACAGAAAGAATCTGGCTCAACAACATTTTCACTTGTAGTCCTCCAAACCCATCCAAGTCTACAGCATCTCAATGATTCCATTTATACTTAGAAGAGAAAAAAAAAAAGAGCTGGGTTTACGCCCCAACAGAAAAGCTATTAGGGCAATCATTTCTTGACCACAAGGTTTATTGGGTACTAGATATGGGTGTAAGTGTAACTAGAATTACTTTCTTTGGGAAAAACTATCTTTATGAAGTCTTTACTGGAGGCTGGTGGGATGGGAAGGCAAGGAAATCAATCTCTGGAGGACTGAGGAGTGTAGGATATACAGCAGAGACCTCAACTGTAAAAACAAGGAAAGTGTCAGAGGTACAAAATGTCAGGGGTCAGAACTGAACTGAAGCCAGGGTTAGAGCCCAAAGGGGACAGATACTTGCTGCATAGCTATTGGTGTGCTGGAGGTAGCACAGCTATGCTCTGAGAAGTGACTAGCCAGCTCATTTCTCCTTGACCACACCTAGAAGGATGTTCCCTACCTGCCACTCTCCACACCAGCTCCCGCCCGAGCCCAGAAGCCTGAATCAATGCAATAACCATTGCATTTGTGAAACATCTATGTGCTCAGCAAAGCTCAGTGCTTCACGTACATTCTTATTTAATACTTAACAACAATGTTTAACATCGGCATGATTATCCTTGTCATACAGGTGAAGAAACTGAAGCGTAGAGAGTAAGTAACGTACCAAAGTTCTCAAGGCGAGTTACTGATAGAGCTAGAACTTGAACCTCAACTCACCGATGCTGGAACTCATTTTTTCTAATTAAAGCACTGATTTTGAGGGGAAAAAAAGGACCTTTAAAAATTGTTTAGTTCAATGCTTGATTCTCTGGACAAAGAGCTGTGCATGAATCATAAAGAAAATCAGGACTTGTCCATCTGCACTTGTCTGCTAGGCATTTCCTCTGGGGTACTATGCACCATGATCTGAAAAGCAGCATGTCCAAAATACTATTCCCCAAGCAGGCACTGGGATAGCCTAATAAAGTTCAGACCAGAAGAAAACACTCCGAGGACAAGTGTGGGCAACACTAAAAAGCAACAACAGCAAACCTGTGACCTTCACATCAGGATATTCAAATATGCATGTGCATTCTTAAATACAAAGGACTTAGACAAATAACTTATGAAACCAAACATTCTTTTGTCTCTGCATCAAATGAAGGAAACCATGGCATGAAAAATAGTGAAGAACAACTAATTCAAAAAGCATTACCATTTAGTACTAGAATGACTTGAAAAGACCCACTACATATCACTGCATCCTAAACCCCTCTTCACCCCCTCAGAGGAGTGAGGAGCTGTGCCTAGGAACTCCTACACCAGTCAAAGTAAAATCCTGAGTCTTGACCAGGCCTCCAAGACCCACTGCTATTCTCTAATCTCAACTCCTGCTTTTCATTTTACTCAATTTATGACAAACTGGCCAGGCATGATGGCTCATGCCTGTAATCCTAGCACTCTGGGAGGCCAAGGCAGGAGGGTTGCTTGAAGCCAGGAGTTCAAGACCAGCCTGAGCAAGAGCAAGACCCCATCTCTACAAAAAACAGAAAAATTAGCCAGGTGTGGTGGTGTAAACCTGTATTCCCAGTTACTGGGAGGCTGAGGCAGGAGGATCACTTGAGCCCAGGAGTTTGAGGCTGCAGTGAGCTAGGATGATGCCACTGCACTGCAGCCCAGGTGACAGAGCAAGACTCTGTCTCAAAAAAAAAAAAAAATATGACAATCACACCAGCTTCTTGTTTTTGAACATGCCAAGTGCTCTTTCCTTAGATAGCCATGTGGTTCGTTCCTTCACTCCCTTCAGGTAGATGACAGTAAAATTCAGAGAAATAGAGAAATTTCCTCTAAATTTCTTATGCCAAGAGGGAAGGTAAGCCTTGGAGACTGAGTCATGCAGCACATTTGCAACTCTGCTTCTTAGATTGTAGCTTAATTCCCTTCCTCAAGCAACACTGTGGGTGTTCTGTAAATGACTGGGAGAGGCCAGACACCATACCTCCCCCTTCCAATCACTCACCTTTGCTGTTGATTAACTGCCTCCTTTATTGTCCTGTACCTAACTCAGACCAGATGTCCCCAAGACCCGATGACAGTTACATCTGCAGGGTGGAATGTTAAATACATTTTTTAAAAAAGAAAAAGATCACCTTGACTAATCAGATTGTTGTAGCTATGCATTCAGCCTTCTATAGAAAGATTTTGAAATTCTGTTAAACTTCCCTAAACTTTGTCTACATAAGTGATCCCAAACTTCTACACTTTGGAATACTGCCTTCCATTCTTTGGAATTTCTGCTTTCTGGGTGGGCCCATCCTCAACATTTGCCCTTGAATAAACTCTCTATAAATTAGATTCTGACCTTTTTTTTTTTTGAGACAGAGTCTCACTTTGTTGCCCAGGCTAGAGTGAGTGCCATGGCGTCAGCCTAGCTCACAGCAACCTCAAACTCCTGGGCTCCAAGCGATCCTCCTGCCTCAGCCTCCCGAGTAGCTGGGACTACAGGCATGCGCACCATCCTGGCTAATTTTTTCTATATATATTAGTTGGCCAATTAATTTCTTTCTATTTATAGTAGAGACGGGGTCTCGCTCTTGCTCAGGCTGGTTTCAAACTCCTGACCTCGAGCAATCCGCCCGCCTCAGCCTCTCAGAGTGCTAGGATTACAGGCGTGAGCCACCGTACCTGGCCATAAAATGACATTTTAACCTGTTAAAATGTCATTAATGTCATTAACAGGAGTGAAGGTTAAAATGTCATTTTACTTTATATTCTGTTAAGTAAAACATGCATGACTAAAGTCTACGTTTTGGTATCTAGTCCAGAGAACACTCTCTCTCTCTCTCTCTCTCTCTATATATATATATATATATATATATACATATAAAGAGGCATATATAAGACTGTTTGTAGTGACATTGTTTGAATAGCAAAAAATTAGGAACAACTTAAATGTTCATCTGTTGAAAAACGATTAATAAACTATATTATATCAATACTATAGAATACCATGAAGCAGCTAAGAGAATGCAGTAAATCTGTGTGTGCTGACATATTAGTGGGCAAAAAAGCAACTTGCAGAATATGTTCATATATATATATAGATGTGCATGTGCATATATAGACACATAATGTACACACAGAAAAAAACCAGAGGACTCTGTAGAAAACAAGCAGGGAAGAAAGGGAGAGGGCAAGACGGGGCAAGGAGGTAAATGGGACTTTACTGTTACTGATGATGCTTATATTTCATTGCAAACAGAATATATTCATGTACTTCTTCAATAAATAGAAATTAATGTTTAAGAGATTTTAATGCAATAAATAAGAACAAAAAATGCAAGTATCTTAGGGGCAAGGACTGTGTCTGCCTTGAATACCATTACAGTATAAGCACCTACAGCACATAATAAATGTTCATTGACTGAAATGATATATCCCAAAAATGTCAGCAGCATTTTTATCTAAGTAGTAGGACAATGAAAAATTTGTTTCTTCCTACTACTATTCTCCATTTTTTACTTTTCTATAGTACATTGATCATGATAAAAGAATGAAACATGCCCTTTTAATAAATATCCCCATCCTACATTCTATTCCACACCTCCCACCTGTGTAACCCAGAACCCAGGTACAAGGCCCAGCCTCACCGTTCCATATCACCTGCACTTCCTCCTCATGTATGTGATTCACGTTTATCCTCTTGACTGTGAATCCTATAATAAAAGCGGGACATGTGTAAAGTCATTTCACATCTTTCCCCGTGTTTAGTAGTAATCAAGGGCATTTATAAACAAGTTTTAGCAACTTATAAATTATTAATCTAAATAATACAATCTTACTACTCACCTATCAAGTCAGTAACAATTAAAAAAAATATTACCCCTTAGGTCTCACCTAAGAGATGAACTGTAGCCTGGATAGCAGTGATTTAGTAAAAGAACAACCTTCAGAGTGGCTGTGACCCAAAAATTATTGTCAGCAGGTGACAAGTAGAGCATGAGCCCAGGCTACACCAATAGGATGATGGACAAAGGGCCCATGGGTATTAATTAGCAAAAATGAGTATAGATTGCCAACAAACAGAAAAATTATTTAACCTGATCGCTGATAGGGTCTCACTCTGTCACCCAGACTAGAGTGCAGTGGCATCCTCATAGCTCACTGCAACCCCAAACTCATGGGCTCAAGCGATCCTGCTGCCTCAGCCTCCCAAAAGTAGCTTGGGACTACAGGCATGCACCACCATGCCTGGCTAATTTTTCTAATTTTTTGTAGAGAAGGAGGTCTTGCTATTGCTTAGGCTGGAGAAAAAATATTATTCATCAAAATAATAAGGTCCTATTACTCATCTATCAAATTAGTAATGATTTAAAAAATATTACCCAGGGTTGGAAAATATCTGTAGAAATCAATATTCACATACAGTATTGGTTTTTGTAGAAAATAATTCAAACTTTTTAGAGAACAGTTTGGGAATTAGCATCAAAAGCTTTAGGATTTTGCCTACCCTTTGTGTCCAGCAATTCTATTTGAAATTTAAATTAACAAAATAAATATGATGGCATATAGAGATCTAACCACTGTGTCTCTCCTATAAAAACAATAAATGACATAGTCACAATACTCAAAATCATTATCCGATTAAATGAATTATGTCATAAATTCATCCAAACAATGGAATTAATATTACGCACTCATGAAACATGATATTGAAGAATATATTATGATATATGTTTGTGATACAACAAAGAAAAAAGTATACAAAATTGCGGTGTGTATTTGTGTGTCTGGTATCTGAATGTAGTATATCAGGAAATGGACTCGAGGATGTCAGCAGTGATTAAATGCAAATTGTGAAGTTTCTGGCATGATTTATTTTCTTCTTTTTGCCAATCTGATTTTTTTTCGTTTTTCTGAAACTAAAAAACACATACTTCTACTCTAAAACAAAACAAAAATATTTTGAAAAGTTCTAGGGTCCCAGTGGAAGCAATAGTTTATTTTCCTCCCATTTCCAGTGCATGTGGCTCAGGAAAGCGCCACCCTCATCCCGCCCCATCTAACCAACGACCAGACCTGTCACTTCAACTTTATGTCCAACCCCTCCTTTCCATTCCCACTGCTACCACCTTAGTTCAGACCACCCTCAGCTCTCCCTCCACCTGGTGCAGGCACACCTTACCTGGCCACCTGCCTCAGGTCACCCTACCTACACCCCTGCCACATTCACCTTCCATGGAGGAGGAACGGCGGAACTTGCAAACGTCAAATCTGATCCTTGTTCTCCAAATGACAAATTTTGATGGCTTCTCATTTCCTTTCTGGTTCTAGCCCAGACTCCTCATCGTAGCAGTTGAGACGAGCCCCCAGGATCCTCCAACTCCCTGAGCCTCTCTTCCTGCCCCTCCCCAGCACCCAGGGGTCAAGCCTGAGCCGGCTGTGCAGGGTCACACTCACCCTGGTGCCCCTGCCTGGGCTCCTACGCTGGGAGAAACCCATCAGCTTTCAAGATCAGCTCAAGCATCTCCTCTTATGGGGCTTCCTTTGCTGCCCCTCCTGTCCCCACTCCTCCGTGGGACACCACAGACCCTGGACAGCCTTCTGCCTTAGCACCTCATGCCACCGCGTGGCACGTTGGCTGCTTCCAAGGCTGTCTCACCCTTTTAGACCAGGGGCTCCTCCAGAGCAGGACCCGTCTCTTAGTCAGCTTTGCATCGCTGTGCCTGGCACAGAGCTCCGCTCATAATGAGCGCTCAGTGACCACTGGCCAAGTGCCTGGGACCCTAGACGGCGCTGAGGCCACACCTGGGATGGGGAAATGGTGTGCTGCCCTCTCCTGGCAATGTGAGGCATTGTCAGACGCCTCCCCTCCCTCCCCCGCAGAAACAGGTGGAGGAAGGAGAAACAGAAAGAGAGACACAGGTGCTGAAGCAGGAGGCGAGAGGCTGCCCAGCTGTCTAGGGAGGCAGACTGGATGGAGGGGTTAGCGAGACGCCGTGTCAGCTCGCACACCATCCCCATGCCCACGGGCGCAGAAGCCAGGTCAGTACTTCAACAGCGGGGCGCATCCTTAGAGTGGCTCCGTCTCCCCTACTAAACCCTAAGCTCTTTGGGGTTCATCTTGTTTCTCAATATACCTGCTGTCATTGTTGTTGTTACCATCACTGCTGCTTTTGTTTACTTAACTAGGCCATCATTAAGTTGTCCCTCCACTGTTACACCACTTGAGTTTGGCTCTTGTGTGTAAAGACTAAATTTAACCACTAGCTCCTTCTGACTTTAACTCAGCTTTCTACTGGTAGGGGGATGGCTGTCTCTATGTTTTGGGTTTCTCAGCTTTCGGCCAAAATCCAAATACAGAGAGATTGGTTCCAGGACCTTCCCCCAAGGATACCAAAAATCAGGCACAGTATTTTTTATGTACGCCTGATATATGTCCCTGATGCCAAATGGCACAGTATTCGCATACAACTTATGTACGTCCTCTCAAATATTTTAAATCATCTCTAGATGACTTATAATACCTAATACAATGTAAAGGCTAGGCAAGTAGTTGTTATACTGTATTGTTTGGGAATGACAAGAAATAAGTGTGTACATGTTCGGTACAGATGCAATTTTTAAATAATATTTTTGATCCCTGATTGGTTGAACCCACAGTTGCGGAAGCCGCAGATATGGGGGGTTGGGGGGCGGGCGGCGCCTGGACCCGCTCCCCCGCTGCCTGCTGCTTCCACAGGGCATGTGGTATCCTGCGCCCCCTCCTGGCCAGGACAAGCATTACCTCAGCTTCTCTTGGGGCTGCAGTCTAATCTCTATCTTGACATCTGGAAAGTTGTCTAGTACCTCAGGTAGGAAATGGATTTGGGGAAGGAGCTTGAGACTGCAGATAAAGATGTGTATGTGACATGGACAGAGAGAGTTAAAGACTTGGAGCAGCTAAGACAGCCACCTGCAGTGAAGGATCACCTATATGTTCACCTTTGAAATCCTTAATCTTCAGCACACAGGGTGTCCAGTAAACATCAGCTGTCGATTAGACAAATGAAACGAGAGTATAGAAAAAAAGCAAAAAGGGACTATCTTCTTATAGTGTAGAAAGCGAGAGCCACTCACAGGCTGGGCCCTATATTTAGACATCCACCCTACTAGACAGGAAATGCCTTTTCCAATTAACAAATGATCTCTCGAGGACTTTCAAAGAATCCCTCCCCATCTCTTAGTCTCAGTCCATTCATTCCTTTTCTAAAAAGTTTACTGCATAAGGATCAGAAGGGCACCGTAAACCCGCTGTCACGTCCAACAACACCTGTCCTCCAGGGGTATATAACGTATCTGTTGACACATGGCACAAATGAGGAAAGGTTGCTCCCCATCATCAAGGGACTCTGTGGTCTCCCTAGAAGACAAAGCATTCATCTCACACTTGCTTGTCCAGATCCACTAAAGAACCATGTAAGACCATGTGCGATGATTTGCTGAATTGACAATCACTTAGCACTGAATATGTCGAGCACAAAATATTAAGTGTTTTCAGTTAGGTAGAGCTATCAGTGCAGGCTTCCTAAAGGAGGCTGGGTTTGAACTGCTGCTCCCGGCTAGGAAGAAATAGGAAAGAAAACTGAAAATTCATTCTCCTGTGGTCTGAGGCATCCTGGGTCCCCGGGGCGCAGAGTCTCAGTTGGATCCTGAGGTGGGGAGACAGGGTTGTGAAGCCATCAGCCACGCAGCCTACATTCTCACCACGGAGAGCTGTGCCACCAGGGCCAGAGCAGCAGAGAAGACAACCGCATACCTCTCCAGCTCCCAGACAGCAGTGTGCTTTGGTTCCTATACAATAGGCAGCCCGGCAACAAACCCCATGCAGTTTCAGGTGCAGGATACCATAGTGAGGTTTTGGGGGACAGTGCTGGCCAGGATGACGGATGTCATCTCCAAACGTCATCAGTGAGGCCAGCACAGTTTGGAGGAGACTGAGGGATGGCGTGTGCTGGGCAGTCCAAGGAGAGTCCCTTGGGGCTGAGGTGTCCTTGGCCTCCCAGAAGCCCCACACCTCGTTAACAGAATAGGCTTGGTCCATGGAACTGTGCAACACTGCTCTAGAACAACAATAAACAGCATGCCAGGTTTGCCTGCCCATCAGAGCTGTGCGAGGGGGGTGGGCAGGGCTGTCTTCCCTGGTGCTTGCTTCTGCCCGGCCCAGCCGCCCCCATACTCCTGACAAACCGCACAAGCTCTCCAGCAGCTACCTGGCTTCTTACTATGTCAAGCCAAAATTCTTCTGCCTCCTCAATCTGGTAGACTCCACCCACTCAATCTCATCTCCTGCTCTTCCAACACACTCTTCTTCAGCTAAGACTCATCTACTCACTGGGCCTCAGTGGCTCATGTTCACCGTGGGGTGGCTTCCTTGTACTCTTCCCACCACCTGCAGTGCCTGCTCCCATCACGACGGTATGGGAGAAACAGAAACCACATGGACTTAGAGTCAGAGAAGCGAGCTCAAGTCATTCACTAAACCCTGAGTGCCTGGGTGCCACCGCTGTGACAAATCACCACAAACACATGGACACAAATTGATTAACTTACATTCATGGAGGTGCAGGTCCAAAATCAGTCTCTGTGGGCTAAAATCAAGGTCTCAGCGGGGCTATGCTCCTTCTGGAGGTTCCAGAGATACTTTGCTTTCTTACCTTTTCAGCTTCTAGAGGCTGTTGGGATTCCTTGGCTTCTGGCCCTACAGCACACCAACCGCCTCCGCTTCCTTGTCACATCTCTGACCCTGACTCTCCCACTTGCTTCTCATAAGACCTCTCGTGATCACATCAGACCCACCCAGATCAACCAGAATAATCTCCCCTTCTCAAGATCCTTGGTTTAATCATATCTGCAAATCCCCTTTTGTCATGTAAGGTAAGACATTCACAGCGTCTGGGGACTAGGATGTGAATGTCTTTGGGGGACATTATTCAGCCTGTTCCATATACTGTGTTTCACCGGAAATAAGACCTACCCATAAAATAAGCCCTAGCAGGATTTCTAAGCATTTGCCCAATATAAGCCCTACCCCGAAAATAAAACCTAGTGATGGGCGTGGCTATGCAGCGTGTCTGCACAACCCATGCATTTCGTCGTGGATCGGTAAAAGACCAGCAGCCCTCCTCATCTGCCCCATGAGAGCTCTATTGCTCGACATGAGAGATTCGGGTCAATGGTTCTAAAGGAAACAGAGCCGCAAAAAATTCAGGATGGAATTCGGGGTTTGGAGAGTTATGATGATGTTTCAGAAGAAGACGACTTAACTCTATTTGAATAAATGTAGATTGTTGTACCGTACTTAAAAACAATAACACATCCCCTGAAAATAAGCCTGAGGGTGTCTTCTGGAGGAAAAATAAATATAAGACCCTGTCTTATTTTTGGGGAAACACAGTATTTATGGCTTATAAATCAATAAGAAAACAGTTTGATTTTTTTAATGGGTAAAACGTTTGACCAGACAATTCACCAGAGACAATATCCGAAATGGCAAAAATGTACATGAAAAGATGCTAAATATTATTATTTATTAGAGAAATGCAAATTGAAATCATAATGATATATCACACACTCACCAGAATTATTAAAATCAGAAGACTAGTTAATATTGGCAAGGATGCAGAGCACATGTAACTCTCAGACATTGCTGGTGGAAACACAAAATTGTAAAGCCACTTGGAAAATAGTTCAGCAGTTCCTTATACAGTCAAACACATACTATCATATGACCCAGCATCCTTCTCCTAGGTGTTGATCCCAGATAAGTTAAAACGTATTTCTACACAACAATTCATACAAGAATGTTTCAGAGCTTCATTCTGCTGAAACAGAAAGCAGCAACAACCCACATGTCCTTCAGTTGATAAATGGATAAACAAACTGGGGTACATCCATACCATGGAATACTATACAGTAATAAAAATCACAACTTATTAATATGCACAACAACATGGATAAATTTTTTTTTTTTTTTGAGATAGAGTCTTGCTTTGTTGCCCAGGCTAGAGTGAGTGCCGTGGCATCAGCCTAGCTCACAGCAACCTCGAACTCCTGCGCTCAAGCAATCCTACTGCCTCAGCCTCCCGAGTGGCTGGGACTACAGGCATGCGCCACCATGCCCGGCTAATTTTTTTTTCTATATATATCAGTTGGCCAATTAATTTCTTTCTATTTATAGTAGAGACGGGGTCTCGCTCTTGCTCAGGCTGGTTTCGAACTCCTGACCTTGAGCAATCCGCCCGCCTTGGCCTCCCAGAGTGCTAGGATTACAGGCGTGAGCCACCGCGCCCGGACAACATGGATAAATTTCAAAAGCACTATGCAAAGTGAAAGAAGTCAGGCACAAGAGGTAAATATTGTATAATTATTTTATGTGAAATTCTAGAAAAGGCAAAACTATAGTGAGAGAAAGTAGGTTTGCTAGGGGCAAGGAAGGAAGGCAGGTCAGGATTCACTATACAGGGGCATACATGACCTTGAGGGATGTTGGAAATGTTCTAGATGCTGACACATGCATCAAAACTCCTTGAACTGTACATGTAAAATTGATGAATAAATTTTAAATGCTTGTAAGTTAAACTGCAATACAACTGATATTAAAAATCATTGGCATGGTTCTTTGACAATGTGAATGTTCTTAATACCACTGAACTATATACCTAAAAATGGTTAAAATGGTAAATTTTATGTTACATATGTTTTATCACATTAAAATAAATAAATAAACTCTCCACCCCAGATCAATTGAATTCTATATACCAGCAATAAACAATTAGAAAATAAACTTTTAAAAAGAGCATTTACAATAGTACCAAAACAAAAAAATGCCCAAGAATATATCTAATAAAAGAGGTACAAAACCTCAACACTGAAAAACATACAACATTGTTGAGGATACAACAGACGTTTCTGGTATAAAGAAAAAAAAAAAAAAAAAAAAAAAAAAAATTTTTAAAGAATACCTAAGTAAATGGAAGAATATGTCATGTTCATGGATTGGAAGACTCAATATTTTAAGATATCAAATATCCCTAATGTCATGAATTTTATGCATTTTTGTTTGATTAACTTTTGAAATTACTTTAAATGACAACAACAAAAGGAAGCTATATACAACAATATGAACTTGAAATATCCAAATCTGTTAGCTAGGAAGTCACTATTGACCCTAAAAACGATTTCAGTGGCTTGGCAGGGGAAGAAATCATATGGCCTTGGGTTTAAATGGTAGGACTGCAAACAGAATACTACCTAAGAAAACCATGTATGCCATATTTATAACCCACTCTTTGCTAACTGGCAGGACTTACTGTCTCTCATTCACTGTATATGAGAGAACAAAATGGGACAACAGAGTATCACAGTCTGCACTCTTCCTGTCCCAAGAGATCCCCGTGTCACTTCCAGAAAGAGTGACATGTTCCCATTAGCAAGTGAGAGAAAGGAGATGAATCACTTTCTTTTATTCCTTCACTCAGCACATACATACAAATTATACGTATCCCTGAGGGAGAAGAAGAAAGAACTAAGAGCATGGAAAATATTTGGGAGAATTATTGCGGAAAACTTCCCTGGTATAGCCAGAGATTCAGACAAGCAGCAAGATAAAAGCAACAACTAATCTACAGAGGAAACCTCATCAGGCTAACTGCAGACTTCTCAGCAGAAACCTTACAATCCAGAAGGGATTGGGGCCCCATCTTCAATCTTAAACAGAACAATTGCCAGCCTAGAATTTTGTATCCTCCAAAACTAAGTTTCACAATTGATGGAGAAATAAAGTCTTTTTCAGACAAACCAACACTGAGGGAATTTGTCATGACCAGACCTGCCCTGCAGGCCTGACTGATGGCTTTATAAGGAGAGAAAGAGAGATCTCTGTCCACCATGTGGGGACACAGATATTACAGAAGGTGGCTGGCTGTCTGCAAGCCAGAAACTGAAATCTGCCACCACACTGACCTTAGACTTCTTATCTTCCAGGACTTTGAAAAAATAAATTTGTCATCTAAGCCACCCTGTCTATGGTATTTTGTCATGGCAGCCCCAGCAGACTGAGGCAACTGTGTTCCAGCTATTGTAATACTGCTATGCTCCTAAAATGCTTTAACTTCACACACCTGGCCCTCAAGAGAAAACCTTTCTACACCTGCAGTTAATCCAAAGCCAGGTCATGCTGCAGTGCAGCCATGCTCCACCAGCTGGGGGGGGCAGCCTGGCCCGTAACACCCTCGTTCTCCCCTTGCTCTGCCCTGTCTCCTGTGCCATCTCCATCCTCTGCGCTCTCACACTGTGTACGACCCACCCAGCTATTTATTCGTATTTATGTGCATGGCTTTGCCACTTCCGCCTACAATCTGGTCCACTGGTTTTACCCAAGTCCTCTTTACCGGACCCTGCTCTGCTTTGATCCCCAGTTCTAAGGGCCAGCAGAACTGTAGAGCCGTTAGCAGGCTGGGCTCTGGACAGACTGCCAAGTTTTCGGATCTCAGCTGTGTCCTTGCCTAGGTTAGTATCCTTAAGCCTCAGTTGCCGCATCTGTAAAATAGGGATGGGTAATGGTGCTCACTCATGCTCTTGCACAGACCTCTAGATAATTTACGAAAAGCGCTTGGCGTAGCTGAGCCCAATTAAGAAGCCTGACAGGTATTACCTTTTATCATAGCTCCTACATGCTGTTACAGTTCAACCGAAGGTGGCGTCTCCGTTAGCCTGACCTTTCCCCTGCGTTGGTTTCACGACTGTCAATCACACGCTGGCTCCGCCCCTGCGGTTGTGGAATCTTTTCTCCTCGACCCACCCGCCCAGCCCCTTTGCAAACAGTGGTCTCGCGTGAACACAGCCCCCGACTCTGCGGACACCAGGATTTGCAGGGGCGGGTTTGCTCCCGTTGGGCGTTATTGCGCTTGCGCAGAGGCCTTGGGCTGGGCTGCTACGGGCTCGAGCTACCCTGGACGTGATGGTTTCATGGAGGCTGTGGTGGGTGATCTTGGCAGTTGCTTGAACTGATCAAGGTGGCCGATAATTATCAAAGTCCACCTGTCTTCTCCCAGATCTGGTCAGGCCTAAGCATGTCTGGACCTCAGTTATTTTCCCTCTAATACCTGCACACCTCAGTATCTCTTCCACGTGGAGCAGTGGTGTCGGGGAAAGTACTCCTTAGGAGCCATGATGAGTTCATGGAATTGTCTTCACTCTGTGCCGGGCGCAACCTTGCAGAGGGCTGGAAGATAAAACACCAGCCCTGTTTTAGGGAGCTCGCCTTCCAATTAGGAGGACAGTTCGTAACCTCCCCCCCAACATACAATAAACGGTTTCTTCCATGACAATCCTCGACGTCTCAGTAACTGCTTTCTGTGCCGCAGACAACATTAAGTCCCCTTGTGGGTTCATTAACAATTACGTCACCCGCACCTGCCTGGACTTGGTTTCTCCTTAGTTCAATGTGGGCAATTGGCCTAGATCGCCCTTAGGATCCACCAAAAATAGAAACTATTAGAGGTAATGAGTTCAACAAAGTTGCAAGATACAAGATCAACATATAAATCAGCAAAGAACAATCCTAGAATGAAATTAAGAAAGCACTTTCTTTTACAATACCATCAAAAGGAATAAAATACTTGGGAATAAATCTAAACAAGAAAGTGCCAGACCTGTGCACTGAAAACTACAAAACATTGTGAAAAATATTAAAGAAGACTTAAGTGAAAAGACATAACCAGGTTCATAGATTAGAAGACTCTGTTGTTAAGATGACAATAGTTCTCTGACTGATCTCAGATTCAATGCAATCCCTAGCAAAATCCCAGTTGTCATTTTTGCAGACATGGATAAGGTGATCTTAAAATTCATATGGATATGCAAAGGACCCTAATAGAAAAAGTAATCTTGAAAACAGAAGAACAAAGTTGTAGGGCTCACCATTCTCAATTTCAAAACTTAGTGCAAATTTTTAATAATTAGAATGGTGTATAAGAGTAGACATATACATCAATGGAATGGAATTAAAAGTCCAGAAATAAACCCATGTATATATGTTCAACTGATTTTCAACAAGGGTACCAAGACCAAACAATGGAGAAAGAACAATCTTTTCAACAAATGGTACCTGTACAACTGGACATCTACATACAAAGGAATGAATTTGGATTTCTTCATACTATCTTGAAAATCATATAAAAATGAATCAAAGACCTAAATATGAGAGCTACAATTAGAAAATTGCTAAAAAGTAACACAGGTGAAAGTCTTCATGACTTTCAGGTAATGGTGTCTAAAATATGACAACAGAAGTACAAGCAACAAAGAAAAATACATAAGTTGGACTTTATCAAAGTGCAAACATATGCATCAAAGGACACTATTTTTAAAAAATCGAGAATACAACCCACAAAATAGAAGGGAGTATTTGCAAATAATATATCTGATAAGGAGCTAGTAACCAGAATATATAAAGAACTTTTACAACTCAACAACAAAGGACAAGTCATGTTTAAAATGGACATATGACTTGAATAGACATTTCTCCAAAGAAGATATACAAATGGCCTGCTCAACACCTTTGGTCATTATGGAAATACCCATTAAAACTACAATGACATACTACCGCGTACCCACTATGATGGCTAAAATCAACAAAATGGAAAATTGGAATCCTCATACATTGCTGAAGGAAATGTAAAATAATGTTGCCACTGTGAAAAACAGTCTTGCAGTTTCTGAAAAAGTTAAACATAGAATTACCATATACCCCAGCAATTCCATTCCTAGGTATATATCCAAGAAAATGGAAAACATCTGTTCATACAAAAGTTGTACATGAATGGTCATAGCAGCATAATTCACAATTGCCAAAAAGGGGAAACAACTCAAATATCTATCAACCAATAATGAATGAATAAAATGTGACATAGGCATACACCAAAATATTATTCATACATAAAAAGGAATGAAGTCCTGAAACATGTGACAACATGGATAAAATTTGAAACATGTCATCTGAAAGAAACTCAGCATAAAAGGCATCTGAAAGAAACTCAGCATAAAAGGCCACATATGGTATGATTCCGTTTATTTGAAATGTCTAGAATAGGCAAATCCATATAGTGTGATATAGGACAGTGATTGAAAGGGGCTGAAGGGTGTGGGGGTGACAGTGACTGTTTAATGGGAGTGGGGGTTCCCCTTGTGGTTAAGAGAACACTCTGGGGCTGGGCGTGGTGGCTCACGCCTGTAATCCTAGCACTCTGGGAGGCCGAGGTGGGCGGATTGCTTGAGGTCAGGAGTTCGAAACCAGCCTGCGCAAGAGCGAGACCCCGTCTCTACTATAAATAGAAAGAAATTAATTGGCCAACTAATATATATAGAAAAAATTAGCCGGGCATGGTGGCACATGCCTGTAGTCCCAGCCACTCGGGAGGCTGAGGCAGAAGGATCGCTTGAGCCCAGGAGATTGAGGTTGCTGTGAGCTAGGCTGACGCCACAGCACTCACTCTAGCCTGGGCAACAAAGCGAGACTCTGTCTCAAAAAAAAAAAAAAAAAAGAGAACACTCTGGAATTATGTCGCAGTGGTGGTTGCACAAAATTGTGAATGTATTGAAAACCACTGAACAGTAAACTTTTAAAGTATTAAAATGGTAAATTTTATGTAATATAAATTTCATTTTAATAAAATGAAATAAAAATTTCCATTACCTAGAAAGCTAGGGGAAATCAGTCATGTATGCTGTTAAGCGCTTGCTCTTTGAAATACAAATCTTAAATTGATTTTAATAATGTTATTTCTTATTTATTTATTTATTTTGGTTATTCCATCATGGAAGCCATTTTTATTTTAATAATTTTGTTTAGAAAGGTTTTTCCAACTATCTGACCTTTTTTTGTGATAATTGGGTCATTGCTGTAAATATCAATGATAATATTGTGAATGCCATTCTGACTCTAAAAGTGTTTGGCACTACTCTCTTCTACACTGAACGATTCCACATGGCCATGCTTTTTATTTTTTTTTATTTTAATGTTTTAATTTTTTTTTTCTTTTTTTGTGACAGAGTCTCACTCTGTTGCCCGGGCTAGAGTGCCGTGGTGTCAGCCTAGCTCACAGCAACCTCAAACTCCTGGGCTCAAGCGATCCTACTGCCTCAGCCTCCCGAGTAGCTGGGACTACAGGCATGCACCACCATGCCCGGCTGATTTTTTCTATATATGTTAGTTGGCCAATTAATTTCTGTCTATTTATAGTAGAGATGGGGTCTTGCTCTTGCTCAGAGCTAGTTTCGAACTCCTGACCTGAGCAATCTGCCCACTTCGGCCTCCCAGAGTGCTAGGATTACAGGCGTGAGCCACCTCACCCGGCCTGCTTTTAAAAATTTTAATATTTACTTTGACTCTTCCAAATCGTAGTGCCTGCCTGTAATTCTTCATCTCCACATGTTTAATATGCTTCAGGTTTTTAAATCAAATGAACACATTTATTAGAACTATGTATGATGTGAGAGGGAACAGGTTCTCAACCAGAGGTTCTTTCCAAGACCGAAGTAAATACACTTTATATTAGGTTCTAAGTGTATATTTACCTAAGTAAATACACTTGATAACTTCTTAAAAGCAAACATTTTAGGCATTATTTCTAGTTCTTATATTGTATTCCATATTCTTCTTCTCTATTCTTCACTGAAATGAAAATATAGAAAATTTTAGAAGGCAAAATACCACAAAGAAAAGACAACAGGAACAAAGACAAGTTAGGAGATGAAATGACACTGTGGGTATGTGATCAGCAAAATCTAGGTTTTGTGGCATTTCACAAGACAATGGTCCAACTTCCTCAACAGATATGCAAGAAAAATACAAAGATATGGAGAACATTTCTATATATTAAGAGTGCTTATATTTTAGTGACATATTGTGAAATACTCATGGATAAATGATATTATCACTGGGATTTACTTCAAAATAATCAAGGTGGGGCAAGTGGATGGAGATATAGACAAAACAAGATTGTCTGAGTTGATAATTGTCAAAACTGGCTTATAGGATAAGGGAGTTTATTAAACTATTTTCTCTGTTTTTGGACAGTTTGAAATTTCTCATAATGAAAAGATTTATAAAAGTACCTGGCGTAGGCAGACTAATGCCCGCATATCCAATCCCTAAAACCTGGGAGTTGTTATTCTATGTGGCAAAAGGGACTCTACAGTTATTATTAAACTAAGGATCTTGACATAAGATTATCCCGGATTATTAATGGGAGCTAATATAACCCCAAGGATCTTTGGAAGAGGGAGACAGGAGTGTCAAAGTGATTATCCCTTGAGCTTCTACAAAGAATACAGCCCTCATGACTCATTTTGGATTTTAACTTACAGAAGTGTAAGATAACTTTTTTGTTGTTTTAAGCCGCCATATTTGTGTTAATTTGTTATAGCAGCAATAAGAGACTAACACAGTATCTCACACCAATGACTTGTTAATATAAAATAAAATGAATCTTTATAATTGAAATATATGATGACATTTGCTGCCTTACAAAGGGATCAAACTTTACTTCACTAATAGCAGGACAGCCTGACACTGATTGCTTCTTGTTAACGATGAAATAAGAGGTATCATCATCATTTATGTAGAGTTATTTATGATAATGATAAACTTTTATATAATAACAATAAATAACCAGGTAAATCCACAATATATGTCAGCATACAAGACAATTGGCCAGGACTGTTTGAAGAATGCAATGTCAAGAAAAACAGAAAAGCAAAAAAGATA